ACAATATTTTCCTTCATAAAACCTAAGTTTCTGAAGCACCAGTACAGTCCTCCAGTACACTTCAGAAAAAAATAGCATGAAACCAAAAATTCGAGATCCCTTATACTTCTAGATGTTTCATGACTGATTTAGCAAGATAAGTGGAAAAGTGGAGAATTGGCAACCTTAACACTTGGGTATATCTTGCAATTGAGAACTAGCATACACCATACTGTGATGTATTTTTGAACCTTCCTGCCTATCATGTGGACAGTGTATCTCGTATAAAATCACTTGATAAGATACGAAATATAGGAAGAGGGAAAAAGGAACTTCACGTTTCCCTTTGTTTCTGTGACCATGAGAAATAATGTGATTCTAAGGCCCAGTGAAATGTTTTCTTTCAAGATTGGCCTACCTTTTGTATGTCTGCAAGGCCACATTAAATTTGGTAACTTGAATTGAACCAGCTGGCAGTGTCTTTGAAGCATATGGGAATAGATCGAAGCTGCAAATATGCAAGGTGAATTTTACATTTTTATATTTCTCTCATGGTTATTTAAGATCTTGATTCTGTGAGATGTTGTGTGCTTAATTCCTACTGTAGGCAATGGCAGATGAGCATGTAAGAACCTTTTGTGAGATGCAAAACACACTTCAGGTTCAGCCCATGTGTCTATTCCTCCTCTATCTGTTAATTTGGCTGCGTATCATTTGTTTGGAATGAGAAAACATGGCAATACTCAGGTTTTCTCTTTGCTTTGTAGCAAAGGGAAATCAGAGGCTTTCCTTAACTATTTAGATCTTTACTTCCTTACAGAGATGAGAACAACTTATTTCCATGCGAGTGTGATAATTTGGGGCTGGTCATTTTCACCGCAAACAAATTAAACAAGACAGGAGCAGTGGCTAAAATAATAAAATAGCTTCCTCTTTTATTGCGTGTTTGACAACACTTGATTTGACACACTATTAGGTAGCATTGCAAACTGTTTAAATGCTCCAAAACGTATATCACCACTATTAAGCTTTGATACCATATTGCAAATGTTTCTGTTTAAATACACTGATTTATGCTCACTTATGAGTGCACACCCAGAATGTCAACAACAGTTAAAATGAATCAATTTCTTAAAGGATTTGAGTTCATTCTGATGAAAAGACCAGATTAATTACTTTGGTTTAAATATTCTGTAATCTTAATATCATTATCTTTTGCATATTCCCAGATCCAAGTGTCATACCCAGTTTAAGGACACAAAACAGGACATCCACACAAAAGGGATAGACCCTTCATCCTATTATTATTTAATTAACTACTCTCTAGAAATTGATGAGCATTGAGCTTTGTTCTGAAAGGTAAATAGTCCTGTGTGTCAGTAAATAAAGCAAAAATTTCAGCAGGAGAGATTTTCTCAGCAAAATCTCATGGCTCCCCTTTTAGCTTATCTGGCCCTTCTGGCTCCCAAAGTACAGCCCACAAAACAAGAAGCAAAATGATTTTCCAATCCAGCTGTTCTTAAATATGTAGGAGAAAACTTTTCTTTAAAGAAGAGCCAACCTCATGAAAAGGGTCTTGTGGCGCCTATGTATAATAAATAATAATCCATCATCACAGTCTCATTTTTCCTTCTTCCCAGGAAAATTAAAAAATCTCTTTATAACAGATGATCAGACATCTTTGTCTGGAGATCCCAAATAAAATTGGGTATAGACATGCGAGATTAAAACAAAAAGATGTTGGGCTGGATTCTTTTTTAAACTAAGATACTTTCATTTCTCTTTGGCTGAGAACATGATTTATGCTTACTGATGGCTACCCAACATACTAGGTGGAGCAGCTGGGTGAGACATTAGGGCAGACAAGAAAATGACCTGTCATCTCAGACATACTTACTTGTTTCTTTTAATTCTGACGGTCTGACCATTGCAGAGCCTCCATGAGAACATGCAAATGGCTGGACTGGTTCAGACCGAGGGTCCGCCCTGCCGGTACTCTGCCTCCAACGACAGCTCTGGGCGTGACAGCCCAAACTGAGGGCAAGTGTGTATGATACTTCCCCTCATCGCATCTGCAACGCTGTTTGGCAAGGAATGCCATATGAGTTCTCCATTGCATGGAGAATATTCATACTACGTAGTCTCACTCCAGCAGACAGCATTTAAAAGAATAACAACTTTTTTAGTATCAGCAGATCCAGATCATGTTTCTCAAGGCATTTGTTCCTATTTATATGAGAAAAGCAATGATACTCTTCTCTTATGCTGGTATAGAAACCTCTTTCAAGACTATTTTGGAGACATTCACTTGAATGTTGAATGGCTTTAAAATCTCAGTGCCCTTCTGAACAAATGTTCCTTCCTTTTAAACTTCTAAAAACTGATTCATGCTTTTTAATCTGCTGCAACTTTTTTTTTTTAGAAAATGCACTTACAGGAGCTGAAGTGGCCAAGTTTGATATACCATTGAATTATCCTGGAAAGGCCCTTGCTTTCTCAGTCCATAGAGACAAAACCTACAATAGTATTAACATTTTCAGTCCCAGTCTCCACAAATGCATTATTCTGAAAACCCCAGAGAAAATGTCCCCTACAAAATAAAAGAACACTTTAACAAATTAATATATATAGCTTTTTAATTTTTACAAACTGTACAGCTAACTGCCACAAATCTCAGGTGTTTTTATCATCTCAATGATTAAATCATCTCTGTAAGTAGCAGCAAAAATTTTATAACCTCTCAGGGCCTGCATCATTAAGTACTGAAAATAACTTGAAGTGCTGTGCAAAGCAAATGGTATAGTTGTAAACTCCTACAGACTCCTAGGAACTTGAAGCCTTTCTTAAGGCAATAGTAATATTTCATACAACTAAAAAGCCCAAATCTCTACTTTTTATCATCAGATGTTCTAGTCATTCTGGTATTGACATCTCTGGCTCCACGTTAGCATCGCTATACCTGCATAGACCTGTACGTACCTGCATACACTGATCGCCCAGATCAACTCTTCTAGAATCAGTATATCTCTACCACCTTTCTCCACAACAGGCTGAGAACTAATCCATGGTCCATGAGTAACAAGTTTCTCAACAGCAGTTTTTCAATACAGAGCTTGCAATCTGTCTCCCATTCACTTTCTCAAATTATGGTCCACATATCAGCCGTTTGCAGCAGTGATATATCTGTCAAGCGTCAAGTACATTTCTTGCAAAGGAAAGTCTTTTTTAGGATTTTTTAACTTTCAAAGTGTCTAATCCCAAACATGCAAAATAATGAGTCAGACGCCAAAAAATCATGAGATTTAAAAAAAATAAAAAAATGTTAATGTCTTTTCCTTTGCTTTCTGGAGCTTTTTCTGGGTCATGTTTTCAAGCTTTTCTCCAAGGCCATAAGGGTTTCAAACATTATTAAAAAGAAAGCAGCTGACATCCTTTTGTAATTGCATGTTTAAGGAAAACATTTATTGCCATCAGACTTAAATTGTGTTCAACTGACAACCAAGAATCTTCAGAGATATTTTTGATCAAGTAATCCTGAGAAAGGAAAATTGCTTCAAACCTGTTTTCTCTAGAGTTTTGTTTACATTACTTATGTGGTTTTTTTCCAGATAACTAAGCTTTACTGAAAGCAGGCTGTTAGACATGGGGGAAGGGCATGACTTAACACTGGCTTGAAGGACTCTCTACAATAGCAAAATATCAGAGGTACAGATTAAAGATCCTCACACAAACAGTGATTTCTTCACCTGAAATTTGTGATTTGCTCCCTCTTAATACTGAGTCCCCTTGAAATCTTTACTCTGGATTATTTTTTTTTTTTCAGTGATGAGAAGACAGTTTTGTGTGACAGTGCGCATTATGAATCTTAAAAAGTTCTTCAGATTCCAACTGTTTTGTAACTGAAATGTTCATGAGTATTTGATAAATGTAACCATTCCTGTTGTCATCATCTCATCTTATTTGTGTGGCACTCACTAATTTGTTTTTATTTAAAGAGGGAAAGGCATTCCTTTCTTTCTTTTCATAATACAATTCCTCTGTAGGGCATTATCTAAGCTCAGTATAGTGTCCTTCCTGTATCCTTTCTCTTCCATCCTTTCTCTCCTGATTAAAACTACCAGAGACTCAGCAGGAAACCCAGTGGGATTGCTCACGGTGTCTTGAAGTCACCCTTTCTCTCATTGTTTTTGCCTGTTAAACCTTGTTTTGCTCGTCAATCCCTCTCTCGCATCCCACTGGATTCCCAACTTCCCTTTGTCAGCACCCGTGTTTGGAGCTAATTGTGCTCCTCTTCATTTTCCCTACCCCATGCTCTACCCCTTCCTTCCTCCCCTCTCAGTTCACCCATCTCGAGTTTCCCTCCGCCATCCTGCTGTGAGGAAAGCCCTGCCTGCTGTCAGCGCTGCCCACAGCCCGGCCAGGCCCAAGCGCTACCGGCTAAGGAGGCAGAGCCCTGCTGATGAGGTATTTCACGGGTGGTTCTTTTTACTTTTTACTCGCTTCCTGGTTTCTGAGGTGTGCGCGTGGATCCCAGCTGATTTCTGCCACCACACACTCTGGGCGATGGCTTCCACTCTGCTGGGACAGAAGACGAAGGGCTCACCTAACCCGCTGGGCCCTGCTTGTGGCTCGACCCTAGTCAACCTCACAGGGCTGCCAGGGGAGCCGGGGCACGGGGCACCTGACCCGACCCTCGCAAAACGGTTGTGGAGAGGGTCCCGGGGGCTCTCGCAGAGGCACCTCCAGGGGACCTGCCCGCGGCCGCCCTGGCAGGCTGTGGCCGACCCATGGAGGAGTCCAGGGCCCGGGCCGAACCCCTCGCTCCCCT